AAGCGCCACATGAAAAACATTTAAAGTTGACAATATAAATGATCATGACCGTAATAATAATAATTGTTAGAATGATTGCAACAGCAATGAAGATTTTATTATGGCTAAAGATAAAATATTTAAAAGCGTCTTTTGCTTACTGTAATAAAAATGTCTTCATCAAAAATTATAATCGTTTGAACTCCCTTAGATAATTCAAAAATAAAAGTAATTAAATCTTTGTAGTGCAAAAAACTTTTGTAATCGATCATATGAGATTGATCGGTGTTGAAGCTCTATCACGTTTTAAAGAGGTAGGATAACGAAGTCAGACTTGACAACTTGCAGCCACCTACGTAGTTTTGATTTTGTATCGATGTCAACTATTTAGGTAAAATTATCAATATTGTTTATGGCTCGAGTAATTAATGCATGACAACCAACGAAATCGCTTATCAATTTATGATATTTATGTTTATTGTTTATTTTCGCTTAGAGGAGTTGATAATAAAGCGCATTACAAATAAAATGTTTTTGTGTGCAATGCAAATGTACATGTATGCACTTTTTTCAGCTGTGTTCTGTAAGTGTAACATTTTGTAGGTGGTGACATGGTTGTTCCGGGAGGATACGCTATAGTTGGAGCGGCGTCATTTTCAGCTGGAGTGACTCACACCGTCTCAACAGCGGTCATCGTATTTGAACTGACCGGTCAGATTGGACATGTGCTCCCTTGTGTTGTAAGTTATGTTTTTTTAAATAACATATGTTTTCAGATACATGTACCCTATATAATTTTTTAAGTTCTTATATATTTGTTCATTTATGGAGTAAAAGTAATTTAAAATGATTTTGACAGTCAATCAATTAAATCAATCATTGATCTTTTTAATTGCTTTTCAAATCTTGTCTTATTTTTGCCTATTTTTTCAGTTAACTTAATAATTCTATCTAATTCTTAGCGTGTTTTTTAATTTTTCTATTCCAGTTCCTCTTCCTCATTTTATAGGTACAGTTTTAAGCAACCTGTCGTCATGCAAATATTTTCAAAAAATGCAATTCATTTATTATATATTTTTCGAAATTACAAGTTGGCTTATTGTGGACTTCGTTCTATGTACTTTCTGCTAATTCGACTTTAAGAAATACTCTGTTATACTCCATTTCAAACCCGAATTTTCAACCCGTTTTTGTTTCTCCGATTGCGTTTGTATTTTTCGCTGTCTCCATATCTTCTCTTCTGTCAATCAGGTTTAAAAAAGGATCGTCTGCACTGGATACTACCAGATCACTATCAGAGCAAACCTGAGCTTGTTTATAGTTTTCTTTCTAATATCAATTCCACTAAATCAATTATGTTTTCTTTCTTTTTCATTGCTTTTTCCAGAAACGCTATAAATTTGATAGTAGCTGCGATGTTGGATCACTTCCGTGCTCTTAATTTCTGTTTTAATCTAATTTCCGATTTTTGCGCCAAGTCTTCTCCTTACTTTTACCAAGTTTTCTGATGCAATCATACTTTTAAATTGCCAACAATTCTTGCTGCCAAACAGTTGAAAATTTTTAAAGCAGTAGTAGATTGTTTGCCCTCGATAGCTTTTTGCAGTTTCATTTGTGAGAATTTATTCGATATTTGGATTTTTACTAAAAGTAAATACAAATAAAACTAGTGATAATAATGATCTGAACCACATTTTCTAAATTAGAGCTTACTAGAATTAAAATAAGTCATTCCAAAATGAATAACACATTTATGGATCGTCGAAAAAACTCAACTGTCAACTTGTAAAAAGCTTTGGAATAAAACTGGCCATTATGAATGTCCATTAAAATGGATGCACTGCACTGTACACATACATCATTCACGCGTTCTTTCACATTTTAATTCATTTTCATTCTCACATTCATTTTTTGCTATATTCACTAATACGCATCAGATCGTCAAGTGTAATTTTTTCATCGACTGAATTATAATTTGGTTACGTGTACAAACGCTCGCGATAAAAAAAATTATAGATCGGAGTATTCATTTCAAACGTGGCTTCCCGGTGCATGACAAAATCATTTTATGACAGCATCGTCGATTTGAAAAACTTGCCTTACATGCATTCCACGATTCACCACGCTGAAAAGTACGCTTGGTGTTTATTATTATTATTATTTTTACTGTTATTACTATTCGTATTACTATCAGCGGCTACAGCCTTGTAATAGTAATATTATTTATTCTTGTTAATATTACTAGTTTATTATTGTTAATATTAATAGTTTTAGTTAGTAATAGTAGCAGTATTTGTGGTCGAAGTAGTAGTAGCAGTAGTAGTAGTAGCAGTAACAGCTGTATCAGTAACAGAGTAATGGTAATTATCATACTATTAATGTAAATCATAGACGGAATCGTTTAACAATTTTTAATTAAAATTTTTTAAATTTCTATATGAGAAAATTTAACATGTTTTATATTTAGCGTTCATAAGCTGGTGGCAAGAGATTTCATGTTAAATGAAATGAACTTCATGACGGTGAAGAGTGATATTGGCAGAGTTGTGGATATCCTGCGCTCCTGTCCCTGCAGAAACTTTCCCGTTGTCGATAATGCTGGTAATTATAATTTACTTGTTTTGTAGTAAATGTCAACTAATTAGAAAAATAAACTGCAAATAATTTTTTAAAGAAAATATGATGCTTTTGGGTACAATTCAAAGACGAGACCTGATGAAAGTTATTTATAAACTCATTCTTTCCGTGGAAGATCAAGAAAACGTTGTGGATAGGACAAAATTTGAAACATTAAAACACCTGAATGAATCAAGTAATGAAGAACTTTACGATCAAAACTCTTTGACAACGTTGCTTCATAGGGTGATTGACGTTAGTGAGATGGGCATGGATAAAGCGCCGTTTCAAATAGTTGATGAAACATCTCTTTATAAAGTATTTTATTTCATAATTTGTTGCTTGTATCACTGAGATTAACTTTTTTCAAACTTTTCCTAAATTGAAACTATAGATACATTCTCTCTTTTCTTTGCTGAGTCTCCATCATGTGTACGTCACTAGCGCTGGCAGGTTGGTTGGCATCGTGTCCCTTTGCGAAGTGAGAGTTATTCAATTCATTACCCTCAATAGCACTAAAGATTAAAATTATTTAATCAACTTCAGTTTAATGCGTGGAAATAAATCAGCATAGATTGTTTTAAATATTCTCAAACTAAAGGTCAGAAAAGCTATTGAAAAAGAAATTGAGTCTACGATAAGAAGAAAAATGAAGGACTTAATCGTAAAAAACTGAATCACTTCAATCATATCACAGAACTTGTTATTAAATTTATTAATTAATGTTTAAATTTTATTTTCATTTAACGAGTTTTTGATAAAAACCGTAATAAATCACAGACACACACATACAAAACGAAACGAAGGTAACAATAAGAGCTTTTATTGATCGGCTTGCACACAGATCTGATATTATACATCATTGCAATATTTCATCATTATAGCAATTCATGATTGCACATTTCAACATTATAGCAATCTATCATTGCACATTTCAACATTATAGCAATCTATCATTGCACATTTCAACATTATAGCAATTCATCAATGCACATTTCCACATCATAGCAATTTAACATTGCACATCAAAGGCGTAAGCAGTACCTTAGCAAGAGCTTTGAAAAGTTCTTTCTTGTCACATTTCTTTGGATAAGGATTACAATTTTAAAACATTAGACTAAATTTGTTATTTTAATTAAAATTATTTTTGTGAAAACTACGAGCATGAGATGATATTTATAATGCAAAGATATAATTAAAATTCGAAATACAATACGTTCGAGGACACAATTTTTTTAGTTGTTATTTTCAAATAATTTTAACATAAACAGAAAATTAACAAATATTTAAAATCGATCAATAAAACAAATATTTATGTTATTTGCGGTTTTCAGTAGCCGTACTAGGGATTGTGGCACTGTCAGAAGGACTCAAGGCTTTCTCTCTTGTCAATAATTTTTCTTTTTCTTTACTGTGACTAAAGCCGTAGAAAAAATAAATTAAAATGCCTGCATTTGAAAAAAAAATATTATTTACATTAAATTGAAATAAATAAGATAGTTTTAGATATAAGCACCTATCAAGAGCCATATAAATAATCTTAGCCACGTTGCTTGGTTTAACCTCAGCATTAATCCTATGTCAATCACTATACTTAAAACAGGCAGAAGAGGAACAAATGGCACCTTTAAAAACATAATAATTAATATATAAATAAAAATCAAGTGCGATGTGACATTATAAAAAAAGTTTTAAATGGTTTACTGACCTGGAAGGTTAGAAAACTTGTATTCCGTTCGTATATGTAAAGAAGGGCAAACGATGACAAGAAACCGACAGAACACAGAATTAGAAGCATTATTATCCACCAAACTTTGTTTATTATTAAGTCGTGAGCAAAAAATAAAATCAACCAACAGCATACACAAAATGTAATCATTAAAAGAATTGAAATTGGACCTATGTTACTTTCAGGCAACCATTTAGTAAGGATCGTGTTTCTAAATCGAGCTTTTAATTTGCCTATATCTTCATGATTTTTGGACATATCAATAAGTTTTTGTTTTTCAGAACCGTCTGTAGAATCAGTAGTTTTCAGGTGAAACTGACACATGTTCAGCGGTTGATATCGGAGCAAAATAACGTCAATTGAGACAAACGTATAACACATTAAAGTCCCGATTGATAATAATTCAACAAGTAACGATAACTCCATAAACAATGCCAAAATCGCGGTTATTAGTCCAAAAATTATTGTAGAAATAATTGGTGTTTGAGTTTTTGTATATATATAACTTAATGGCTTGAATAACAATCCGTCATTTGACATGGAATAGACAGATCTTGGTAGAGCATATAAGCTGCCTAGAATAGAGGCTGATAAACCAATTATAGCACCAATGCTGATGATGATTGTCGCCCATGCACATCCATTATATTTTAAAGCCACCGGAAAAGGAGCAACAATATCGATTAAGTTATAAGGCATCATAAGTGTGAGCGCTGAAGAAGCACCAACGTATAAAACTAACACCGTTAAAACTGAAACACTCGTTGCTATGGGTATATTTTTTATCGGGTTTTTAGTTTCTTCACTAGCTGTAGCTATACCTTCAAATCCGGAATAAGCAAAAAAGCAAGAAGAAGATCCGGCAAGTACTCCAGAGAACCCATACGGTAGGAATCCACCATTATCAACATTTGTCCAGTTTTTTATATCGGCATAATATAGACCAATAGAAATAATAATTAACAAAATGATTACATTAATACTAGTTAAAACGTTGTTGAATGTTGCTGATATTTTCACTCCTGCACCTACAAATACTGTCCAAACCAATATGCAACCAACGGCGACTAGATCAGGCTGTTTATCAAACCAAATAACGTTGAAAGTACCTATATAATGCTTCGTTCCATTTGATATTGCACTATCAGTAAGAACATCCACTGATCCGCTCCAAGCTTTTGCTACCGAAGCTATTCCTATTAAAAATTCCAAAATCATATTCCATCCTACTAAGAAAGCAGGAAGTTCACCAATTATAATATAAGTATACGTGTAAGCTGAACCAGCTCTCGGCACTCGGGATGCTAATTCCGCGTAACATAATGACGATAAGAAAGCAGCCAGTCCGGCGAATATATACGAGATTATTACTCCTGGACCTGCAACTTGCTTAGCTACAGTTCCAGTAACAACAAATATGCCCGCTCCGATCATATGGCCTAATCCAAATAGAATTAAATCCACCAAGGTTAAACACCTTTTTAACTGAGTACTCATCAAATCATCGGAAAGAGTTTTTTTGCGAAACATGTTGAAAGCAAACGTTTTACATTTATCCATTTTAGAAAAATAAATTAAAATTCTTCTTTTTTTAAATAAACATATTGTTCAAAAAAGAATGGCTGTAATAAAATTGTGTACGTTATTATTGTTAGGTAAATCAATAAAGCCCTTATGGGTGAGGTCAAATGACAGCAAGACTAGAAATGATAATTTATTTCTAACCATATATATAGCTAGATATAATGTTCGTACATTTTTATTAGTACGTCAAACTAGATATTTTTTAGTACAAAATATAAAACAATAAACATGTTCAAGCACACCTGCGTTCGTGTATAAGGCGTTTGCAAGTACGTATATAGATCGCTCATCGAACAGATGCTGTTCGATGTACAAGTAACAATTTTGTAATATTTGTTTCTGTATCTATTTTTAAAATTTATTATGTTCAATAACAACTAAGCTACTAATAAATTCCGGCAAACCGCTGCCAACTAATCTAATTAATTTTTTATAACTAAAGCCTGTTTTAAACAAAAAATAAAAATCATAACATCAAAAGTCTTTCTGAATACTTAAGCTTATTAAATCCAATAAGAAATTAGTTAAAATATAACGATCACAAGGATCATGTTTCTTTTTAACGTAGAAAACATGACGAAACTCTGATCACTACGCTTGTTATTAGCAGAACTGTGAAATGATTTTAATATAAATAAAGCTAATAGCACAAACTCAATTTTCTTCCCACTCAGCCATACAATTGTCAAAATAATTATTTTCGTTTCTTTTCTTTTTTTTTTTTATTCATAATTTAACGGCATTGCAGCTCCCATAATGGTGCTATGTTTTGCCATATTTAAGTCATGATTGAATATATATACATACTTAAATACATATATTATATATATATATTTTTTAAACTTTTATTTATCTATTTTATTTGTTTATTACTATTTCAATACATTCAATTTGCATCAATTTATTTTGCTTATTTTGAATTCCTAGTTATACATCCAAAGAGCCATCTATTACAGGGCAGGGAAATCTAAACAAACCACATTGAAGCACTAAGACGGGAAAAAAAAATTTTCGTTTCGTTATATAATTTAAATGGCTCCTGTTAAAACGTCCTCATGGGCGCATATTGGTAATTCACGGATACATATTAACACACATAAACTTCTGCCATAATTACTTTAGATCAGGGTTTCACAAAGTGAGACGATATCGGAAGGAGGCAATTTTATTATTTATTGTTGACAGGGGCTATTGCATTTTACGGGTTAGGGTGAATGAAAGTGGAGAAAAATTGGTAAAAAGAATAATTAAATACAATAATCGAAAAAAGTTGCACAAAATATAACAATAACAAAATAGATGATTGATTGATTGATAACATAAATAAGCAAAAAAAGTCATCAACTTTTTTTTAACGGGGGCATAATTTTATTAACGGGTTTGAGGGGCTTTATATCGCGCGTGAAGCTTTCAAATATTTTATTACCGTCAAGCATATATATAGAATAACACAACACAATCTATATTATATATATATATATACAAGCAAAAAAAGTCATCAATATGTATGTACGGTTGAAGATTACACCCCATTTTGCAGTTAGAAGTTTTTTAAATAAAATTTCAACAACACGAAGCTGTTTTGTTTCAACTTTATTAAACTGTGAAGTTTGGCTGACGGCCGTTTCGGCTAATGCCATCGTCGGAGCCTAGATTGTAAAACCAAATGAGGAGTTAATAATATAAATTATAAGAAATAGAAAATAGAATATTAGATATTAAAATGAATAAATAAATGAATAACAACTTATATTTTAAAATTAACTCATTATATTGTTGAAAATAAAATAAACGAATAAATTTAAAAGAAAAATTATGAATAAAATTGTTTGTGTATTATCGTAGTTGAAGTGTAGAAAGTTAGCATAGTGACAAGAAGTAATGCAGAAATTATGGGAAGTCGATAATAATATTTAATGATATGACAATTTATTGAAGAATTATTAGATATTTAACAATTGGATATAATATTATTTAGCAATAAATATGTATAAAGAAATATTAAGGCGTGGCAAATAATGAAGTTAGTGACAAATTGTTTGAGTTTTATGGCGTGAAGAGACAAACGGATTGTTGTTATGGTGCGTTCTTGTGTGTTATATTCGTATTTATATTTGGTGTGTAGTTGCTGTCTATTGATGACGTTTGGCAATTGAGGCAGTACAACGTCGCGATATTGAGTAAAAAGTTGTAAGACGTGGGCGAAATTGTCTGACTGCGTGTTGATTGTTGGTTTATTATTGAGGATGAGAATAGCTTCTTTTATTTTGAGTCTTGAGGGACGACGTTCATTACAAAGTATGCTAGTGCAAGAATTTTTCGAGTAACTGGTATGTTGTGCTGCTTATTGAAGTGATCCTTGATAGCGCCTTGCTGTACGTGCATGGTAAGGCGTCTGCGAAGTGTTGTACGTGTGTGTCCAATATATGTTTCCACATCACGGTGTGGCAAAGGGCATCGAAATTGGTACACGACGTTCGTACTATCTAGATTATCTTTTGTAGTGGCTGGACTGTTTTTGATGACTAATTGTTGTGTTTTTGTTGTATCATAATATATTATTAACTTAATCTTTTTATTTTCATCTTCTGATGTGAGATTTGATCTAATGATTTGTTTAATTTGTTTTTCATCAATTAGATAGTTATTATGCATTTGATTTTTGTAGTAGATAGGTATTGTTTGTTGTTCGTGCTGTGGTTGTAGAAGTGGTTGTTTGAATTTCTTGAGAGATTTAGATATGACGTCGTCGATGAGTGTATTTGGATAATTATTATTAATAAGTAACTGTTTGATTCTTTGAATTTCTATGTGAAGAGATTCATCGTCGTTAGATAATTTAAAAGCGCGTGTGATGAAGTTTTTAATGACGTTGTTTTTGTATTTGACGGGACAATCGGAATTGTAGTTTAAGCATTGTCCAGAGTTTGTTGGTTTGACGTATACTTGGGTAGAGAGCTAATTTGCGTGCATGGGGACTAAAGTGTCAAGGAAAGAGATTTTATTATTGTTACTAACTTCAATTGTAAATGATAAGCAAGAGTTGTTCTGGAACAGGTTTTGGAGTTGATATATGTCAGCTATAGACTTTGTGATGATAAATATATCGTCGACGTAGCGGGCGTAGATAAGCGGTTTGTTTTCTGGATCGGAGAATATCTTAGATTCTAGATTACCCATGTAGAACTCAGCGAAGAGAGGACCTAATGGGGAGCCCATGGCTATGCCGTCTATTTGTAGATACAGTGAGTTATTTGGGGCGACAAATGGATTGCGTATGGTACATAGTTGGAGGAGCTCTTTAATTAAATGAGGAGGAATGTCGAGTTGAGGAAGAGAAGGGTGGTTGTATACATATTGGCAGATAATTTCAATAGTTTGCAGGACTGGTATGTTAGTAAAAAGGCTTTCAATGTCCAGCGACGACAAGTGTCCTGTGGTATCTTTATGACTATGGATGATGTCGGCAAATTCATAACTTGATTTAACGGAAAAGTTACGGGGTACGTATGGCAAGAGAAGTTGATTGATAGTTTTAGCTAACTGGTAGGTTGGAGTTGGGCATTGAGAGATGATGGGGCGTAGTGGGTTGTTAGGTTTGTGTATTTTTACATTACCATAAATATATCCTGGAGAGTAGTCACCAACGATTGGTGTTAGTTTGACGTTGGACGAACTGAGGTTGATTTGTGCAATCAATTTATTAGCGTCTGTTTTGATATCGGATGTGGGGTCTTTATTAATTGGTGAAAATTTTGAACTATCGGAGAGGATGTTATTAATTTGATGAAGATAGTCGGACCTATTAAGGATAACGTATGTGTTAGACTTGTCAGATTTACGTATGTTAATAGCCTTATTTTGACGTAGTTGTTTGGCAGCGTGAAACATGATGGGCTCTATTGTATGTTTTGTTGGTGTATAACGGTGTCGATGCGCCTCGGCCTGTAACTGACTGTGGAATGAATTATCAAAGTTGATAACACGTTGATTTTTAAGCCTAAGACAATCGGCGTAAAGTGTTTCCAATTCTGTTTGTTTAATTAGTTTTTGATATGGTTTACGTATATGAGTGTTAAGTCCCAGATTCAAAAAGGACGATACGTCTGGTGTTGGCTGATATTTAGATAAATTAACGAAAAATTGTGTATCGTTATTAGGAAGAACGATATGTCCATTATAAAGTTGACTAAGTTTCTTAGTGATAATCCGTTTTTTACTGAGGTTGAAATTGTCGTAACGTTGTTGAACGAAAACGTTGAAGGTGTCATAATTTATGTTAGGATCTTTAGATAAAGATTGAAGAAGATTGTCATATTGTTGCGATAATAATTTATGTTTAATTATTAATTTAGTTAGCTCATTGCCTATAACTTCTTTTGGAGAACTACGTTGGAGACTGGAGGAACCTCGGGGCTCCGACGATGGCATTAGCCGAAACGGCCGTCAGCCAAACTTCACAGTTTAATAAAGTTGAAACAAAACAGCTTCGTGTTGTTGAAATTTTATTTAAAAAACTTCTAACTGCAAAATGGGGTGTAATCTTCAACCGTACATGTTTATCTGAGAACCTCATACCAAATTATATATATATATATATATATATATATATATATATATATATATATATATATATATATATATTATTAAAGAAAAATTTATAAAGCGCCAATTAAAAGTTAAAATTCTCAAAAGCGTATAATTCTCAAAAATATATATATATATATATATATATATATATATATATAATTAAATGAAAATTTATAAATCGCTTTTTAATAAAATCTCAAAAGCGCCTACAATAAGTACAAGAAAAAATAAATAAGACAAAAGAAATAAAGTTGATTGTCACTCAGTTAAATGTCAGAACACACATATATTTAACACAAAATCAATAAATAAATAGACGACCAAAAAGAAATAATACTAATTCAAATGACGATTTTTAGGATTTATCCACACAAGTTACTAGTTATGTACAAAAATTTAACGCAATAATCAACAAGCCTCACAACGAATTATTAACCGACACAAGAATTAAAACAACATAATGATAGTACCGTACCGACTAATAAAGAACATAAAAAATAAAAAAAAAAAACGAAAAAAAATTTAATTTTCATAATCACATTTAATTACAAGAACCAAAATGCTGCTTAAAAAGCAGCAACTTTAATTGTTTACAAAATAGAGGAAATAATATTCCAGGTAGACGGAGTGAGGTTGGCAAATTATTCCACACCATCGGTCCAGCAACAGCAAAATTTCTTTTACCAGTCACCAAACGGGTTTGAGGAACGTCCAGCAAATTCCTATTATTGGATCTCAATCCTGGATAACCAGACGTTGAATCACGTTTAGTCAATCTACCGACCAAGTACGGAGGAGCACGCCCATTTAAAACTTTGAACATCAAAACAGCAATCTTGTAGATAATTCTCTTTTCAATCGGAAGCCAGTGCAGATCCCGTAAAATCGGCGTCACATGATCAGATCTAAAACCTCCGACAACTAGCTTGGCCATGCGATTTTGAATTGACTGTAGTTTGGAGATTTCCAACATGGAGACACCGTAAAATAGTCCAGCCTCGAGTGAATAAACGCTTGAGCCAAACTCTTTAGGGTAATCTCATTAAGTGAATTTTTTATAGCCCTCATCATGCGAAGTTGTCGATGACATTCACCAGTTAGCAACTTTATGTAGCACTCCATTGTCATATTACTATCGAATACAACACCAAGATTACGAGCAACTTGACATAATTCAATCTTACTGTTTTTAATCTCAATCGAAGTGAAATTTAATTTGTTTATTTGCTGCCACGTACCAATTGGCAATAACTGGGTTTTGCATTGATTCTATTTGAGTTTGTGCTTGATCATCCAAGAATCAATCGCCTCCATGCACCGACAAAATCTTTCAACAAGAGCTTGAAATGAAGTAGCTGGACCACTGACAATGATTTGTATGTCATCTGCAAACCCATGATGTTTGAACCTGAATGAATCAATGATGTCGAAAACGTCAGCAGTGTATAGCAGAAACAGCAGCGGTCCAAGTACTGAGCCTTGCGGTACACCATGCTTTACTTCCTGAACAGATGATAAAACATCTCTGCGTAATAATTGTTGTTTTCGCGCAGAGAGATATGATTCGAACCAAATAAGAACAACACCTGAGATTCCAAAACATTGACGTAGCTTTCCAAGAAAAATCTCGTGATTAACACAATCAAAGGCTGCACTAATATCAAGTAATGCCAAGATTGAGATATTTTGATCATCAATAGCAGCAAACAACTCAGATGAAACATCTATCAGTGCTGTCTCAGTTGAATGAAATTTTTTAAATCCTGACTGACATTTTGGTAGCAGATCATTATGATTTAAATGACAAATTAGCTGTTTGTGGACAATTCGTTCAATAACTTTTGACAAAAATGTTAGATTTGACACCGGTCTATAACTTGATAAACTATTCTTGTCTAGTGTCTGCTTTTTTAACATCGGAACAACAATTAAATATTCAAAAGCCATCTGGAAATGCCCATAAGTTAAACATGCATTTACAAAAACAGTCAAAAACGGAAGAAACAGATGAACGTATTTTTTAAGTATTTTAGTTGGCAAATCATCCAGTGGGCACGACTTTGTAGGTGAATCCAAAATAACTTGACGAATCTCATCACTAGAACAGCACTAAAATAATGATAGTTCAGCACATTCACTCATCCGATTGTTTGAAATCGGATAGCAAGTGATTCAAAGGAATTTACCACTGGTAATTCTATTTGTTTAACCTTGAAAACATTCTTAAAATATACAATTATTCCTCCATGATTAGGGTCGTGTGGGCGCAAATAGTCCATAAATGAGAAGCCATAAGGCATAGCCAACTATGTTGTTTTCACGGGCCTTAACTTCATTTGCCACTTCAATTGTTCTGCGAACAGAGATGACCTCTTTACTAACTACGTCGAGGTCCTTTTTTACCACATCGGAAAATGAAGTACTGATCATATTTCTCAAAGAAGCAGCCTCGTAATCGACAATTTTAGAATTACTCTTTACCACGTCTGACCAAGACTTGGTGATATTGTTTTTCAAGGAATTAATAGACTGGTTAAGTTTATCGTCTAGTTTTTCTAACTGTTTTAGGTTCTCATCGCTTGACTCAAGCCTCAACTGCAGATTTTTTATCCCAATATCAATGAAATCAAACGTTTTAAGACGAGAATCAATGGATTCAAATTTTTCGTTAAGCATCTGCAAAAGACCTTTGAAACCATCAGCATGTTTCACGCAATTATCACAATAAAACTTCATGTTTTTACTATTGTTAGCATATTTCATCATATAAGTCCGAAGGCTCGATTTGAACCACCGCATCACATACACAACATAATATGTTATCATCCTTTACAGATGCAGGTTCCGGAATTGATTGACTTCTCTGAGATCTTGTTTTAGACATGTCTTAATCGAGCACACAAACGAAGTCTATGGAGAAAATGCAGTGGTAGATACAGGTCTTTAGCACGATGCAGCAGCTGCACTGTCGAAGCCGTTTCAGCGACAGCCAAGGTAGTTTTATATTCTGCAACAACAATGAACAAAATTTTCTTTCAAATCACTGTTGATATTCCAGACAAAATAACAGAACAACCGAAACAATGCAATACGTCTAAAAAACAAGGAATGATAGCTTACAATTTAACAGAAACGTATTTACTTAAGATTTAAACTAAAAAAATTAAATTAGTTACTTAAGTTCTAAATTATTAAAAGAAACAAAAATATATTAATAATCCTCTCTAATTAACCTATCAATTAAACCTAATTTGAACAATATGCACTCTGAAAAAACGCCGAAAATTAAGAAAAATTACGAAAAATCAACAATCAACAATGTATGTATGTATCATGTATGTATGTATATATATGATGGTTAATGGTTTACCAATAATATATATATATATATATATTAACATATATATATATGTATATATGTATATATATATATGCCGTCCAATGTATATATATATATATATGCCGCTAAATATTCCGTACTAACAACGAATTCACATACATGTGACGGTCAACAGTAGATATATGATCATTTGGTACTCCATTTCTATCCTTTGTGTGAGATAATCCGTCATAATGTTTGCAAAGAAAATCACAGTGAGTTTAGATGACAAATTTGTAATTGATTACCATTACCAAATTCATCGACATCACCATATTTGCAACTAAATAGCTTGCACACATAACATAACACTTTACCTGTTAAAGGAGAATAGATGAGCCAATCTCTCTTGACAACTTCTCTATTTGTCAATTTTCTAAGAAAATATTCTTTTCGTGCATATCTTGTCTCCAAATTGTCTACCCATTAAAAGAAAATCACTTTCTAGATTCTGTGAAGGGACATTTTTAGCATAACAGCCTATAAAATCTGCATTTATTTCTCATTCAGATGGAATACCAAATCTGCCTTCATTGCTTTGCCGCATTTTAAAATTTTCGTTGCTTGCTAGTTCTGGATCTGAATAATAACCAATCAAAAAATTGTGGAACACCCTCTAAAAAATTTTATCTAACAATCACAATAATAACCAATCAAATTATTTCTCCCCCACTAATTTTATTACATTTTTATCAATTAAATCAATAATATTTGTTGCACGACTATAGAAAATACTAACAAACAAGTCCAGTTTGAATATGTTCCCAGTGTTGTCTTATTTGATTCAATTGTTAATCTTTCCAATTTTCAAATGTGCACTCCAGATGAATTGCGTAAAATAGTTTGCGACTCCCCTAGTATTCTTGTTCTCTTGATCTTATTCCAACATAAATATTTAAAAAATTTATAGATCTTTTTTGTCATTTTTGACATTTTTAGTCAACCAATGTTTATCAACTGGCAGTTTTCCCAGCCCTTTGAAACATGCTATTGCAACCCAACTTCTAAAAAAATCAAATTTGGACGACAACGTTTTATTAAATTACCGTCCAATCTCTAATCTTTCTTTCATTTTTAAAGTCATTGAACGAGTTGTTATCAAACAATTGTTACAGCATTAAACAATAACAATTTGTTACCAAAGAACCAATCCGGCTATCGCCAATATTTTTCCACAGTAACTGCACACATTGATATTTTCTCCCAATTATTCTCTTCAATTGACAATCAATATATTTCTTTTTTGGTATTACTTGATATGAGTGCTGCATTTGATTGTGTCGATCATACTCGTCTCATGTATAAACTCTCCACAAATTTTTTTCTCTGATTCAGTCTTATCATGGTTCTCTTCCTATCTTTTGGGCCACACCCATCAGGTTTCTTATAACAACACTCTCTCTGAGGTTAACAAATTATTTTTTGGTGCCCCCAAGGAATCTGTGTTGGGACCTCTGTTATTTCTTATGTACACTGCTGATGTTTTTGATATCATTCAAAAATATGAGTTCAGCTCTCACGCCTTTTCAGTTATTGGTATCTTGTCCTGTTGATTCAATTGATGCTTCTCTGAATAAACTGATTGATTGCCTTATCGAAATTAGCTCTTGGATGAATAAGAATCAGTTAAAATTTAATCAATCTAAGACACAAACATTACCGGTTGGTTCATGGCATCAGCTGTCAAAAGTCAAAATTTCATCAATCTGTATTGACAATGACATCATTGATTTTTCCACAACTGTTATTAATCTTGGAGTTGTTATTGATTCAAACCAGAAGATGGATTTACATATTAATAACTTAGTGATGGTCTGCTCCAACCAACTGCGTTTATTACGCAATATCAGAAAATCACTAAACACGTTTGTTCTTCAGAGTTTGATTTCTCCTTTCGTTTTTTCCAGACTGGACTACTGCAATGGTCTTTTTTATGGTGTCACCAAAAGGTTTTTTCAAAGCTTCAGTCAAAACAGAATCGTGCGACCAAGCTGGTTTTGGGTGGTTCGATCATGTTACGCTCATTTGAATAGGTTGCACTGGTTGAGGGTTGAAAAACGTATTCTCTTCAAGTTAGCAGTTTTGATGTTTAAATGTGTCAATAATGCAGTACCTCCTCATCTCATTAATAGGTTGGAATCATACAAATCTCATTTCTCAAAATTTTTTCTCAGATCAACCAAGCGCAATTTATTTTTTATCCCGACTACAAAGTTAGCGACGGGTGCCCGCAGCTTTGCGGTTTTTGGCCCGGTTGTTTGGAATGGTTTGCCTCCTTACTTACGTGACCCTAACGTACCATATTTACAATTTCGAAGTCAGCTTAAAACTTATTTATTTGGACAAAGAACGTCCGTCTTATTCAGTAGCGCTTTTGAATTGCACGAAATAAAAGCACTGTATATAAATTTCCGTAATAATAATAACAATAATAATATATATATACATTGTGTATGTGGCCAGATGCTCAAATATGCATATACTGTGTCTCTACTTTGTTGATTCATTGTTTGTTCATCAACGCTCATTTAATTAGTTTTACTATCTTCAACTTCGTCCAATATAACACAATGAAAACACGTAAAAGTGCTATATTGGACGGAGTTGAAGATTGTAAAACTAATCAAATGGGCTTTAAGTGTTCACTTCGAACAAACAAGAAATCAACAAAGTAGATATATATATATATATATATATATATATATATATATATATATATATATAAACATTATGTATATAACATCAGTCTATGGTGCTAATGCTAGTGAGGAATACTGAGGACCAATTTGTTGTTGACTCTTTTTAAACAATAGTTTTAAGGAACACTTTTGAAAGGTTAAAAACTTTTAGCATTCACAAAACAAAGAATTAAAAAAAATTAACAATGAACACTAAAAACAATGAAGATTTGAAACTGAAACACGACAGGCACTTAAAAATGCAAAGCGAGTCAATTAAAAACTATATCAATTTTTCATGATTGTTGCAATAACTCATTAAAATGATAATATGAAAATATTAATAAATAAATTAATAAATAAATAAAAAGACAAATTTTTATCGCCATAAGCATCACTCATCAAATATTTGCAAAATGTAAACAAGGTAACCAATAAAAATTATTTCAAAACTTCAAGAAAATTTTTGTGGAATGAAATCAGTACAAAAATAAATAAGAGTTTAAAAAAACTGTACCCAAATTTATATTACTTGAATTACTTTTTTGTGTAAGGTTTTAAATTACAATATTCAAAACTAGTTCAAAATTATTATTATTTATTAAACAGGCATTCCAAAAAATAATCATAAAAATTGGAACAGGAATATGATGTAATCTTTCTAAACATTGCAAAAAATATAAATGAATTAGTTTAGGCTTAAAAATATTAAAAGTATGGTATTTTTTAGTTTGTGAGGATATGTGGATATGTGTGAAGCATATGTAATTGACGATGGTCACCAGAAAGAAGAGATAATGATTGATAAAAGTAACATGAGAATAAAAAAATGAGCATCTTCTCAATTAATTAATGTACGCTAAAAATTTAACAATTACGGCTTAATTACCATAACGAGTTTTTCATCAGAATAAATTGGAAAATCTCTTGCTGATGGGTTTAGTGCCTTTCTTTGTCACGTGCTCTAAATTAGGATACAAGATATAAGTTTCGTTATTAAAAATGTGAAATAATAGAGCAGCGAAACTGTAACATCAAACAAAAGTGAAAATTATTAACTTTGCTCAAAAGGTGTTAATGGCTTTTCAATGACAGCCAGCAGAGCATCCACCCATTCTTTCCTGGATTCTGCACTTTCAGCCTGAAATGTAAACAACCTCTGTGGAGTTCTCACAAAAAACATGAATCCACCATCTAAACTAAAAGCACTGTCATTTCTTGGCAAAACTTTACAAGAATCCCCTTCAGTGGATTCCTCAATGGTGACTTCATAACATCCTGAATGTTTTGAACCAATGAAGACCTCCCCTTTCGGAAATGCATCCTGTTACATATAAAATAATACAGCGTTGATAATTTATGAATAACCTTAGAATAAACATTGAAAATCGAAATTATAAAACAGATGCGACTGACAAGTTTGAAACAATCAGCTGTCAATCTTATTTTGAAGATTGGGCGAAAAAAGAAAAACTGTAAACATTTCGCGCAAATTACTCCTATACATTCATCAGCCGAGAGAAAAAAGTTTTAAATCGAAATTAAAAAACAGGTGCGACTGACAAGTTATAAGACAATCGGCTGTAAATTATTTCACCTCATGTTGAAGACATTGCAAAAAATCAAAAACTGCAAACATTTCGCGATATTCTTATACATTCACAACCAAAGAAAAAAATTTCAAGTTATGAAGGATTTGCGAATATGAAGTGGAAAGTTTTTATAAATTAAAAGACTATATAGTTAACAAAATAAAAGCTGGACAAATTTTTTAAATGTACTAACTAGACTATCCAGGTAGTAAAGTAACTTTCTATTGACAAGGCACACCCACCTTTTGTAAAAATTATCGTTCCTTCTTGGTCCACATTTCATTAACCATCCTTCTTTTACAATTTGGGGCCATAAATCCAGGCATAACTTTTATAAAACAACAAAGAAATACAAATGAAAATTAAAAAAACTTGAAAACAAAGAATAATATCACCTCTTCCACACGAGTGCAGGGAAAAGCAATTTGTTGCCATTGTAACTTGGCTGCATATATTGACGCATACCAACTGATCAATTCCTTTTTGTTTATAAAAGAGAATATTTTTAAATTTTGTGTTAATCTTGATGAATTTAATTCTCAAGTTAAAAGTTTTGTTCAAATATTCAAATGTAGCGCATTATACCTTATAATAAAACTGGCTATGCGTCCTAATGTGGTCAAGGAGAGAAAGAAATTGACAGATTTTGAAATGAAATAAATGATGAATGCAAAAATGGTTTCGGCGAGGTGATGACTGTAGCAGAAAATCCTAATGAGCAAGTTGGGAAAAGGGCACATAGAAAAAAGATGGCTGCAGAAAATGAAATAGGATAGAAAATATTGAATTTTGAAAATGCTTGATCAATGGAATCAACGACATTTGGTTTAATAAAAATGAAAACTTTTTAATGATGATAGTATTAGAGAAACTGGAAATGATTAAATTAGAACTGCTTTTTAACAGAAGGAGATAACCATTTAAATGCAGGCATGATATTAAATACCATTTATTTTAATAAATTCTGTTCATATCATTTCCACAATTTACTTTACCTTTATTTGCTAACAATTTATGCTTTGATTTGATAGCTGTTAATGTAGCTTCAAACCTGTTTTTATCTTAAATAGTTGTTTAACTAGATTAAAAAAGATACGTCTTTCTCAATTACATTTGAGCATTTTTGGCATAACAACAACAACAACAACAACACACGTTTAGACGACATTTTCCCCGAGATCGGGGGTTGCCGTTTGGCTACCTATGATGAAACCGAAATACCCCTCCACGCCATCCACATCTGTCACTCGCCTCAGTATCACGCAACCCCGCTTTCACCCTGTCCTTCTCCACCTGCTCTCTCCATCCCAATCGCGGACGACCCCTTCCTACCACTCCTTCAATCTCGAACTCCAACGCTCGCCTAATCCCGACCCTTTCATCCCTTCTCAACACATGTCCATACCACCGCAATCTCAATCTCCTTATCAATGTCACAATGTCCTCATTCAGTCCCATCATTGACATCAGCTCTGTACTACTCCTCCTATCCTTCACTTAACCCCACACAT